CTTCTTCTGCTTCTTCTGCTTCTTCTGCTTCTGCTTCTGCTTCTGCTTCTGCTTCTGCTTCTGCTTCTGCTTCTGTTTCTTCCGCTGCTTCTTCTTCTGCTGGCTGCTTCTACTGTTTCTCCTCCTATGTCAGTGGTTGATTGAGCTAGGAGGCATTTGTCTGTGTCTGCTCTCCCTCCCTGCGTCTTGCATTGTGTCTTGTTGTTCGCTGCCCAGATTGTTATTTCAGTGGGTTGTCATTGCTTTGCATCAGTATTCTTCTGCTGTTTATTCTTCACACTCTCCTGTCACAGGATTCAACTTTGGCAATACCCAAATATGTATGTCCAATTGTGAATGGATCATCTTTCCAAAACTTCTTCTTGCCGTACATTGCATTGCAACTCATGTCCGTGCTTTCCACTGGTGATTTCATCAACTTGTCAGCAAGGATCATAGCAATATAATGAGACTTGCGTTCTCTCAACATCTTTTGTTGTCCAAAGGTTCAGGGAGAAGAACAGATGGACACACGTATATCAGGACATACTCAACAAGAAGTTTCTCAACAAGGAGGTCAGCAGAATCAAGCGGGGGGGATGTGGCTCCTGCAAGATCGTTCTCCACAGGGGTGAGTCTCCCATTGAGACCTCATGACTCTTTTTGCTGAGTGTACTTGGTCATGTCTGTCAGTCATCCTGTGCTAGACCGTTGGATGTGCGTAATTGCAGGAAGTGCAGATCATGTTTGTTGCTTCCGTTGAAGATCTGCTTTTAATTGAGACCATTCCTTTTCGTTACATGTACAAGATGGTCTATATTTATTGCTTTCTGTGAGCATGCAAATCAGTCTATGCGCATCTTGGAAAGTGAGTCTGTTGTGTGTTTGGATGCTTCCTATTGTACGAGCTGAGAACAGAGAATGAACTCCTCTTTGTTCTGTTCTTCATGGCAAGCAACCCTAATAGTGGTCCAAGGCAACTCTCTCACTGGTGCATGCCATTTCAGCTAACAGTGACAACGCCAAGAAGAAGAAGAAGAAGAAGGTGGTTCGCATCATCTCCTGTTCAGGGTGATGCTCCCAAAAGCTTTTTCTACCCAAGGTTGCCATTACTTTTGGGCGTCATAACTCTCCATGAGTCTGGTCTCATTCCACCACAATGGCATTGACTCTTGGCGGGTTGGATGTCGAGGTGGACTTGTTCAATATCACTACAAGTATAACAATCACTATTTCACAGTGTGTGACTCTCAGAGCAAACAGAATGCACGCGCGTCATGGCTGCATCTGGCGGAAAGCATACGGTATATGCTATATACGTAATGATGAGGGCGCCTTGTGTTATGGGGACAATATATTATTTTGCATGTATATGTCTTACATCCCCAAGCATGGACAAAGAAAGGGGAAAAGAAGAAAAAAGATAACGTCCTTCTACCGACGGCTCACTAGATATGCAAAATGAGAATAAATCTTCTGCTAGAACATGGAAAGACAGACAACCTTTTTTGTTTTGTTTTGTACATGTCGTGGGCCGCGGGAGCCAGGCTCAACAACAAACTCGGCTGCACGGTTCTGCAGCGCCCTCTCTCTCTCTCTCTCTCTCTCTCTCTCTCTCTCTCTCTCTCTCTCTCTCTCTCTCTCTCTC